AAAGTAAAGCAATCTTATTGACAAAGCATCTCATGATAAATATCACTTTGTATCCCAGAGAGTATTTAGAGGACAGATTTTATTATCATAAATTTCAAAATATCAAATATCATTCACTACTTAGACATTCAAAATTTTTAATGAATTCCACATACTTCTCAAGTTAGGATGCAGATGAAAGGAAAATATGGAGTTGATGTTTTTATTATGTAAACTTAAGACTCTCATCCTTTTATATCAGTGAACCATTTGAGCTGTGATCATTCAGACACACAAGTATCACTATTCAAGATGTAAAGTAGAGATCGAGAATTTTAGCAAATTACATTTACAGAAATCTAAATATCACATCGGCTTCAGGTCCAAATCTCAAAAAAATACTTGCAAGAGAATAAGTCAAACGGTTCCATATAAATAACAAAAATCTATGATCTTATTCACAGAGGTCCAAATTTATATTGTAAAGCTTACCCAAAATGTTAAGTTTTTCTAAAAAGATACTTGTAATACATATTTATAAAATACTACACATACTTTATGGTCTAAAAAATATTGATATAATTACTGAAATATAAAAAAATTATCATACACTATACATATTTATCTAATTTTAGAAAATGACCATATCAAGACTGAACTTGGTGTAACAGTATTTCAAAGGCAGTCTGATGCAGGTGTATGGATGACAGAGCGTAAGCTGCTATCTAAATGGTTAAGTTGTCACCTATATATCAAAGGCACAACATAGGCTAAAGAAGACTATTACAGTTCGTGAGAAGACTGGTATACTGTACTGCCACCTACCTTGGATCTCATGCTTGCAGTAAATGTCAGTTACTAGTGATGACATTATTCTATTCACACAGAAGGATTATTTTTCAAAAAAGAAGTAGTTTAAGTTAAAAATCAGGATTTATCTTTTTTTCGGGATCATTTTCCTTTTTTTTTTTTTTTTTTTTAATGCATTTGTGTAGTGCTAGGCAAACCTGATATGATACAGTCCCAACGTGCTATACACAACTTATTGGCTAAACTCATGTACTTGGTAGATAGTCATAAAATCTATGGTTTTGAACATATTTCTTTAAGATTTTAGGGGTCTGTGAATGCAAAAAAAAAAAAAAATCAGCAATATCTCCCTAAAAAATTTTCAGCATTATGTAGGTCACTTTTACATGAAGAAATGAATCCACCTTACACAGCAGAAGGTGACACTGTAGGCAACAAAACCCTACCCTTCAAATAACTTCCAAAAGCAGTTGAAAGCTGAAGAAATACCTGGAAGAGGACTTCAACCCCAAAGGAGAATCTAGCATAGGTTAAATGTCTGTGTTGTAAATAAGACCAGTGGTTAACAAAACAAGTTTAGGATGATGATATAAATCCTGTTTAAGCATTGGATAGCAGCTCAGGCCTTGAATGTTATGGGTACAGGCTTGAAAGCAGAAACTCCAGAATGGTAAACAAATCACTAATGGCCAACAAACAGCCAATGAAAAAAAGCACCTCAAGCACTGTGAAAAGATTGTTTTTACACTAAGAATAGAAGCAGCCACTAAGCAAAGGAAAAGAATCCAGCTGAAAGCACTGCTGTGACCTGGGGAATTAACACCCCCTGAAGGACTTTGCATCATATAATCTAGGGATAGACTAGAGGCTTGGGAATTGCCTAGAAACTAAACCATCTTATAAAACGGTAAGATTCCAAACTGGGCATGGGGAAAGGAAGAGAACATAGTAGAGAATTAAAAAAACCCCAAACCTCTTCAATTCTAGCGTCCCTTGCAGAAAAGCTCTTGAGTTTGTCCATGTCGTCACGTCAGTGAAGACCATCACTGCTACCCATCATTGCCAACAGCTCCATAGGATTTTATACTCACATCAAATTTAGGACACATGTTAAGAACTGACTACTTTGAATATGTAGTGGTAGTGATTGATAGTAAGAACTAATCTAAGTGTTAATGACAAATAATGTGTAAGAATAAGTTATTACCACAACCAGTGCTGTTAATGATTGTCAGTCCAGTAAAGTGTTTTTGTTTTGGGGGTGGGTGGGCTTTGTTTGTTTGTTTGTTTGTTTGGGGTTTTTTTGGGTTTAAGTTTAAAAGAAACAGTTAAGAAATGCCGAAGTGGCATATAACACAGTGATATACAGGCATCCCTAACCTTCAGGTCATTTTCAGTTAAAAAGCAATGATACTGAAAAATGTAAATAGAGATGCAGAGAACACCATGATCTCTTCAATGAAAAGAAAAAATTTTGAAGAACCAGTTAGTACATGCACTCTATACTTTTCTCTTCTTCAAGTATGCACCTGTTTGAATCCCAGAAAATATTTTTAGGATGGTGATATCAATGCATTTTCAGCTACTTCATTCAAACAATAATTGAAATAATGTTCCAAAAAATCCAATATCTGGTCTAGTCACCATATAAAGAAATGATATGCAGCAAAAATCAGTTACTCCACAGTCACAATCCAGGTAAGAGTGTTTTGGTATTTTGACAGAGGGAAGACATAGTTACAAATTTGTCAGCAGGTCAGATGTAAACATTTTGTGACTGATTTACAGATTCTTAATGAGAAGACAGCCTTTCAATGTACTAGTTACAGCTAGGAAAAAAAAATGGGAAAAAAGGAAAAAATAATTTTTGAATGTCTGTGTTACTTCTCCATCAGAATCAGAGCAACATTATGCCTCTTCAATTAGTAAATAGTTTTGATAAGACTTCAAAAATAAAACCAAAAAAACCGAACCCACACTTTTCATATTGTTGTTTCTGTTCTTCCTGACAAACAAATCTACCACAGGTGCTTTGCACTGACAGAATCTGGGTTTTCTAAGAGACCTTTTAAATGATGTTGCAAACAAGAACAAGAAACCTTACAAAGAGCTCTGCAGAACAAAACCCAACACATCAGTGGCCAATTTAGTGAATATCAGACTAAAAACATTTATAGCTTCAGGTGATCCTAACATCATCTTTTCCCATGTTCTGTTCTTTAGATCAGTCATTCCAGACTGAACCTTAAGTCACTGCTAACAAGAGCAAGAAACTTTTTTCTGTACATTTATATGATTTAATAAAAAAACAAGCTACTAATAGATGAAGCAGCTATTTACTGAATGACCTAGCTGATCTGTAGATTACAAGTACATAGCTCCCTGCTACATCAGCTGAAGCAATAGGTTTAACTACCAGAGGCCTACCTACTCACACGGGTATGACACGTAAGTCCGTAACATTGCCACCTGCATTCTGGAGAGCCTGAACATGACATTATGAAGAATGGGACTTGAAAGGAGCTTTAATTTTCCCTAAAAGACTGTCAATTTTCCATCTAAAGCACTCTCAGTCATATATACAACATGTCTGAGAGAAGAATATCTAACTTCTTTCAAAACACTTCCAATCATGCATGAATGGAGACACCAGTTTTACCCTTTCCTAGTCTTCCTTTATCTTCTGTGAGCTTTAAAAAGATTGTCAGTGGTGGTTTTCTGATTGCATCTGGAATTTACTTCTAAAGAATTAGAAATTCTGTGTTCAGAGGGTAGCTGCCTGGTTTCCCATCTGAAGAGAAAGCTTTAGTGTCTCACCTCAAGACACGGACATTCTTATGAAAATAAATCAGAGACTTTTGGTTTGAAGAATCTCTTAAACGAAACACACCTACTCTGGCTATTACTGAAACGTGGAAGAGACAGATAATCATTTATGCCAAAGGTGCCGAACAGGGTTTGAGCGGGGAACTGTTTAACAAGAGCTGCTCAAAAAAAAAAAAAAAAAAAAAAAGAGTAGCTCATGACAATTTACACAGTAAGTCATGTATCATTCTGAAGGATTTCAGAAGCTCAGTCTGGATAAAATATAGCAGTAGAGAGGATCATCAGACATCTTTTTTAGTAGCAGAGAACTCACAGTGTCTTCTGTCTCTTTTGGGACAACAGAACATAAATGAGTAACTTTAAAAATGCATGGCTGAGGTTTCTTTTAAGGTGTTTCAATAGGGACCTATTGAAATAACAATTAGCATACTCAAGGAAAAATCCAGGGTAATTCAGGAAGGGCTTATTCTCATAAAAGAACAGAAATGAATATGTAACCTTAGTTAAAAGAAAGAAAATGCCTTTGTGATTTAGAAAATGTCTGTTCTTAGGTAAAGTAAGGAGTTCTGAGCAGAACTGAATGTCCTGGTTTTGGCTGGGATAGAGTTAATTTTTTTCCTCGTAGCTGGCATAGTGCTGTGTTGTGGATTTAGTAAGAGAATAATGTTGATAACACATTGATGGTTCAGTTGTTGCTAAGTAGTGCTCACACTAGTCAAGGACTTTTCAGCTTCACATGCTCTGCCAGGGGCACAAGAAGATGGGAGGAGGCACAGCTGGGACAGCTGACCCCAGCTGGCCAAAGGGCTATTCCATACCATGACATCACACTCAGTATATAAACTGGGAGGAGTCGGCCGGGGGGCAGTGATTGCTGATAGGGAACTGGCTGGGCATTGGTTGGCAGGTGGTGAGCGATTGCACTGTGTATCACTTGTTTTGCATAATCTTTTGTCATCATCATCATTTTCCTCTGCTGTTTCTTTAAATTGTTTTTATCTCAACCCAAAGGTTTTACTTTTTTTCCCCAATTCTCTCCCCCATCCCACTGGGGTGGGGGGAGAGTGAGCAAGTGTCCTGCCTGACGCTTAGTTGCCAACTGGGGTTAAACCTTGATAATGAACTAAAACTTGGTCACACAAGGTTCAATATATTCTAATGGAAAAATACAAAGCAGTTACGAGTTCTAAAATAGCTTGAGGAAAACAGGTAATTAGAGAAGCCTATTAACAAAACAAAATCTAAGAACCTCTTTGCTGTAAACTTTAATAGGTGAAAAGCATTCATATATTCTGTCTTTTCTCCTAGCACATTCAGGTAATGAAAAAATAGCAGCCTTATTTCCAGTAAAACACTGGATAAAATGCGTTTTCTGCATTACTTACCTGTTTTCATTTCTAACAAGCGCTTTTTCTTTTGTTGCCTCTCTTGTTTTTCTTTTTCTGCTTTCTCCTTAGCTATTTTAGCACGCCTCTGTTTTTCTTCTGCTTCCCTTCTTCTCATATTCTCCTTTACTGCTTGCTATGAAAAAAATATATAGAGTTCCATTAAAACTGAACTCTTAGCAAAACCAAAGCTGAACCTTAAAAACAAAGAAAAAAGCTTTAAAATCACATCTCCTAACTAACCATAATTTATCAAGCCAAATTAAGCTTTTACATTCCATATTTAGTATTTTTTATTCAGAAGAGTAAGCAAATTCAGAATACATTAAAATCCTACTAACTGGCCCCAAACAGGGATTATAAATTCAGCAAGAAATACAGCTTAAGAATGCATACAATAATGTAGGAAGAACTCAAAATATCTAAACCACCTGGTTTTACAAAACTGTAAGTATTTTACTATTTGTATTTCTAGAATAGTTTCAACAGTTATGCTTTCTCATGTTACTGCTATACCAAGCAAAACAAGGCTGCTTGGGTGACTTAGCTGTGCATTTTTCTTATTCTTATCCACATGTGCATTAATTCACTGGGTTTATAAATTCTTGTCTTCTGGTTTGTACTCATAAAACATTGTTTATTTTCAATTTTAACTAAGTACTTCAAAGCTGCCAATGAAGCCAAAACAGAACTAAGAGTTTCAGAGTTTTAAAATCATTATTTTGCATATTCAGACATTAAGCAAAAAAAAGTGTGTCACATTCAATTTTTTAACAAAGCTATTTCAGGATTACCTTTTCATTATTTTAGGGTTAGCTATGTACACTGGTAGATTCTCAGTGCTCTACTCTGGCTTGCACTAAATATAAAGTGCACCTACTCTTCATTGCAGAAACTTTCTCTTTTCAGAATGCAGTTACACACAAAAACTCATCTTTCGCAATAGAACATAGTGTCCTACAAAATGGCTAACATCTTCATAAGGTCTGAGGCAGAGTCTGTACATTTGCAAGGATAATTAATGTCTCATTGTTTTTAATGGGAAAAAGTCCAGCCTGCCCCCAGGAAAAAAAACTTTAAAAAAATGTAACGATGGACTGAAGAGTGCTATAAAGCACTGATGAATGTGGATTACAGTAATATTTGCATGGGCACCATTTGTTGCATCACTGCAATAGGTAATGACCAAAGGAAGGAAAAAAATACATCTCACGTAAATCTTATGAGGAAATACCTGCCTTTGATAACTGAAGAATAATCTTTCAATAACAACAAATGACAATGGACTTTTCAAACAAAGCAAAACTGTACTTCCACAGTGTCTTCTCCAGAGTCACCTCCGACAATTTTCTTGATATTGGGGGAGGAAGGGAGAAGCCTACTATAAAATGCTAAAATTCTGGATTCAATTAATTTTAACAAATTATTTGCTGATTTTCAGACTGGGCATTCTGGAAAACAAACTGCTGGCCAAAACTCAAATGGGACTCAAGCCCAAGAACAGTTTTGGCAGAAATTATATACTTTCCTAACAGAGTTAACTTGTACTTTGCATCTATTTCTTCCCCCAAAACAATACAGTAGGATTCAGCCTCAGATTGCAGTCATCCAAATGTAGGTGTCTATTCCTTTTTAATCACACCTATCAACTGTGCTTGATTTAGTAGCTCAAACCTTCATATCCAGTGTAAACTGGAGCATAGAATCATAGAATCGTCTAGGTTGGAAAAGACCTTTAAGATCAAGTCCAGCTGCAAACCTAACACTGCCATCCCGCCACTAAACCATGGCCCTAAACACCATGTCTACATGTCTTTTAAATACATCCAGGAATGGGGACTGAACCACTTCCCTGGGAAGCCCGTTCCAATGCTTGGACAACCCTTTTGGTAAGGAAATTTTTCCTAATGTCTAATCTAAACCTCCCCTGGGGCAACTTGAGGCCATTTCCTCTTGTCCTATCGCCTGTTACCTGGAAGAAGAGACCAACACCCACCTCTCTACAGCCTCTTCTCCAGACTAGACAACCCCAGTTCCCTCAGCTGTTCCTCATAAGACTTGTGCTCCAGACCCCTCACCAGCTTTGTTGCTCTCCTCTGGACATGTTCCAGCAACTCAATGTCTTTCTTGTAATGAGGGGCCCAAAACTGAACACAGTATTCGAGGTGCAGCCTCACCAGTGCCACGATCACTTCCCTACCGCTGCTGGCCACACTCTTCCTAATGCGAGCCAGGAGGCTGTTGGCCTTCTTGGCCACCTGGGCACACTGCTGGCTCATATTCTGTCAGCTGTCAACCAATAGCCCCAGAGCCCTCTCTGCCAAGCAGCTTTCCAGCCACTCTTCCCCAAGCCTGTAGTGTTGCATGGGGTTGTTGTGACCCAGCACTTGGCCTTGTTGATCCTCATATAATTGACCTCTGGAGTATCACACATTCCCTCCAGCCTTTTTCTAGCAGGGCACAGGTATGTCTTAAGTTCTGTGTCATAATTTAAAATTTCAGGCTGATGATGTCTTGGGTACCATTTAAGACACCACCCCAGAATACTAGGCACTTCTGTTGTTAGGTCTTCTTTGAGACATCAGGTAGACAACTCTCTAAATTCCAATAACTGTACTGAGTATGCATCTCTTGAGATTAGACACTCAAAGCTCACATACAGATGCCAATATTTAGAGGTCTATGCCCTAGAATCAAATTCTGTCCTACATGTTCTATGTTTTCAACACAAAACATAGGTGTCTGAAGTCCTGCAAAATGTTTATAATAAGAATTGTCCCAAACTTGACTCAGAACACATATTTGTCTCTCACACTGTTTGCATTTCAAAGATTAAATGTCTTAGCACTTCCTTGCTCAAAAGGCCCAAAAAGTTAGATGTGGTCTGACCACATCTACTATGTACGAGCAGCATTACATTCAGCATATGACACAGTATGCAAAGTTAACTTTCAGAAAAATTACCAAAGTATACACCTTTTGCATACCATGCCAAGGCCTAGAGTTTCTGAGTTGGAGGCATTCTTGGGTTCTCTCTTGTACTTTCCAGAATTGTTTCTGATTTTTATTCAAGTATTGGCATAATATAAGAGAAAAATACTCTAGAGTCCAGGGAACACACTTTTACTTGGTTGCTGTTCTTCTGTTTTTTTAAGTCATGTTTCTGCTGCAGAGCAACTTAGTGTCAGTAGGAGCAAGGGGGTTTCTGTAGCCCTATGATTAGCATATTGTCTTGGACATAAGAGTTGTTGACACAAGGCCTCTTTCCTTTCTCTCCTACAACTGTAGGAAAATTCTAACCATTAGACAAAGATAAGAAGAGGAAATACTACAATTGTTTCATCTTATTTTAGAAAGCCATCCTTCCAAGAAAAGGAACGAGCCTGTTAGCAGTACCTCTGATGCTGTGAAAGCACTGAAGGAGGTTAACAGAGATGTCTCATACTTAAGATGTTCCACTGACTGCACCAGGAACTTAGCTTCGGGAGTTAAAGTGCTGAAGATAAGGTGCTTCACCCATTTTTTGGATTTGGCCAACTAATTGTGTTCTAGATTTGGTGCTCACAGAGTGTGAATAATAGCTGTCACAGCTGCAAAATAACACTGAAGTACAAAGTGCAGTCCAAAATTAGCTATGAACCTGAAGTCTATGGCTCCAGATTTAAATATGTTGTTTTAAACACTTTAAATATTTTCATTAATTGAGAATAAAAAACCATGATAAGTAGGTAAGTACTATATGCAAATTATCAACTTTGCTTGACAATAAGGATGACTGAACTTCACTTTCCCCACACCTACTGGTGACTAAAGTAGTCTTTTGGTCTTGGACTTTTTAAGAATCCAAAGATTTTTCAGCACTAAAGTTAAGTCTTTTGAGCTAAGTTTTCTAGGATGCCAACCACCTTCAGTTTCTGTCACTAATCAAGACTAATGCTAAACAATTCTGAAAATCAGACCTCAGGTGTCTCACACTAGGCATCTCAAAAATCTTTTCCAAAAAGTCTCAAAACTGAGCAGCTACTCAGTATTTGTTTAGTGTCATTGAATGATAAGTGGTTTCATGCCTTATCTACACACCTTTTTCATATAGCCTTCAAACTGTGCTCTGCAAGACAGAATTATTAATTTTTCTCAAGGTTTCTCATATCATGCTCATCAATAAAATCTAACTGTTTTGAAGCATTAATTAATCTATCTTTATAATACTGCTGTGAAGCAGGGGTTAGTATCAGTGCTGATTTTACAGACAGAGAAAAGAAATATGGGGAAATTAAGGTAAAGCACAACCACTTCTCCAAGTCTCCAATTCAAGATGAACCTAAGCATTTAGAAATCTACAGCATTTAAATGGGAGGTATGTTTTAAACATCAGAAATTAAAGTAATACAACTATTTCACAATATTTAGCAACTTTGAAACCAGACTCCTGAGTTTCAAATTAGGCGCTGATCAAGTTAGGAAAACATAATCAATGCCCATGTTGAAAAATCTGGCATATGTAACTTGCCAAGCAAATTATTCTGATTGAAGACTGTGCCTTCTAGGTTTTTAGCTGTTAAGCTCTGAAGTAGCAGAGGCCTGGTAATCTTTACATATTCCAATATGTTTTCTAAATATAGGTTCCATGTTAAGTCCTTTCCTCAAAATAGATAGACATAGGAATTTCAAACACTTTCTCAATATCTATGAAAGAAGTATCTTTCCCTGTCTGCACCCTCAGACATGTCTGAAAATCATTAAAAGAACCAACCAACCAAGTAAAACCAAAAAACACTGTGAAACATGTAAGCAACTTATATAAGTGTGTTACAATTGCATCAGGTTGCAATGAGAAGTAGATGGTAAAATGACTAATTGAATCTTTCTACAGATCAACAGGCATGAGCTGGATCACTGCTCCAGGCTTTGTCACAAAGCTCATGCTCAGATAACATTCCTGCAGAAGTGTAGCCATTAAGTTAAGCTATGTAATCATAGGTAGCCAAATGTAACACAAGTCACCTTTTCCAAATTACCCAAATTAAAAAATTCATACACAGTTAGGGACCTGCCTTTTTATTCTTCCATTTCTTTATTCAGAGTTGCTTAGCAGCCAAGTGTTCAGAATCCAAGAGAAAAAAAAAAAAACCAAACTATTTTTGCAAAGAAAGCTTAAAAAAACCCAACCAAACACAACCACAACCTCCACACAAAATCAACAATCTCTCCCTACCCCCCTAACTTTACCAAACCTAAACATAGCTATAAATCACCAAGATAGCAATCTAAATCCTAAATAAGATCTCTATAAAACTATTTCAAACTTATATAGCCATCAGCTTTCCCAAAGTTTTTTGGTTGTTTTAAGTTGAGGGATGTACTAGTTTTGAGTATGTATTCTTAAGTATATAAAGTTAATCATCCTTCTTCCAGAAGAACTACATTGTCAATGGTAAAAGAACCTGCAATAGTTTGGAGAACATCTGATTATCCTCAAATTTCCCAGGATCACTGTTTACAGTGTTATATAATCAGCCCCAAACATATAAAGAAATACCCCCGTAAGAAATTTCTACCTCACTTTTCAGAAAGGTCTTCTGTTAACTCTGAAATCACATTTTGGTAGAATAAAAAAAAAAAAACCAAACAAAAAACCCCCTATTATTAAAATTTGTAATCATAATGAAAATGCATTCAGCCTCAAAAAATACCTAAAGAAAATAGCTCAAGCTTTTATGATGAGCTAGCAAACGTTTGTATACATAATGCAGACATTGCCTTGTAATACAAAGACAGAGCTAACCTCCACATATATGACTATTTTAGATGACTCTAAGGCAAAGCTCTGTTAACGAACAAGTGAGTCTGAATTATGCTTATAACTATGTTCTGAGCTGTATACAAAAGGAGCTACCCAATAATAACCTGGATCAGGCTAATGTCTGTTTCTCAAATATGATTCAAATATTTGAAATAATAATAGCCCTTTTTAGCCCCTCCCCCAACGATCATCCCTTTTAAAGGGAAAAGAAGAAAATAAGCTTTTAAAATGCATAAAATCTAAAATCCTATACAGTCTATTGTCACAAAAATTAAAGGTCCTTAGAAACAGACCAAGTTTGAGGAAAATATGCTGGTTTTTAAGCCAGTTTAAGGAGCTCTGAGTTTCCATAGCAGAGAACCTGCTTACAGACACAAACCTTAAAACTGATCAAGTGCTGCAGGCAAATGAAAAATTAAATGAAATAAAAGCTTGGGTCTGGCTTTTGCAAGGTATTAGTGCACATTATAAATATAGAATAATTGTTAGAATATTTATGTCTAAGTAAATAACAAGCATCCTTTAAACAGAAAATGCAATTCTATTTAAAAAAGGTAGAGTTTCACATTTTTCCCCCTTCAGGTTATACATGCACATAAGAGGCTCAGTTTTAAATTACATTCATTGTTATTATGAATTTTCAATTCTTTCAGAAAGAAATAATCCACAAATAATAATTTAAAACATTATCCTTAGGATATCTTGAGAATTTAGGATGCACAAAGGAAAATTTCTGATATTAGTATCAGATACCATTTGAGTAGGAGGAAGATTATTTTTTATTTGTTCAGAAATTGAAAGATTACAAAAACAATTTCTAGGAAACATTAGCCATAAAATAAACAGGTTGTACCATGAACATTGTCCTGAAGTTGTTTAAGTCCGTTAAAAACTCCTCCACCGAAACTTTCTTCAGATCAATGGCATAATATCCCATCACATTCTGATAGAGTTTTTCCATGTTCTCATGCATCCGTGAAAGTTTCTGGAAATCTTCTTTGGCATGAACTAGAAAGCTGTATGCTGCTGTTAAGGCTGCAAGAATATTCAGTAAATCCAGTCAAACCCACAGTTTTTACTTAACATTGATTTGTATTTCATACACATTTTTCATTTACATCAAATGAAGTATCAAAAAAATTCCTTCCATGTCATACTCTTTGCAGTGGTGCCCAGCGACAGGACAAGGGGCAATGGGCACAAACTGAAGCATAAGAGGTTTCAGTTGAATATGAGGAAGAACTTCTTTACTCTGAGGGTGACAGAGCACTGGAACAGGCTGCCCAGGGGGGTTGTAGAGTCTCCTTCTCTGGAGATATTCACAGCCCGCCTGGACAATGCCTTGTGTAACATGGTCTAAGTGAACCTGCTGTAGCAGGAGGGTTGGACTAGATAATCTCCCAAGGTCCCTTCCAACCCTTGCCATTCTGTGATTCTGCGATATGTTTCCTGGTATTTACTGTGTATATTATGCCTATGAATAAATCAGGGTGCTTTCATCAAATTTTCTCAGCCACTTCAAATTTAAAGATTCCATTAGCACATAATACTGCATGAAATGAAATGTATGGGACTAATCTAACTTCAAGCACCTATGCAGTTTATTTAGTATCACTGTCTCCTTATTGAAGCTAAAGGTTTAGGTATATAAATTAGATAGGTATAGAAATTACAATTTATATGGAATTTAGGTACAGATACCAATAACTAACCCGAATACTTTAATGTATCAAGAAATAGTATAGTTCTTACTAAAATCAGAGTAAAAATAGAAATATTAATAAAAAACGGTATTAGAAGTAAACACCATGAAAGACTAAAAACTTCATCCTAACTGCTTTTTTTTTTTTAAATGCTGTTGTAACAACAGCAATGCATTCATTTCTATTCCTGGTGGCTGCATCAGGAATTTATGCTATTTCTAAGGCTATATACAATGTCAATACAACTTAATTAAATTAGAGGTGAAAACAATAGAACTACTTCTACAAGAGACAGACGATTTATAAACAGCACCAAAATACTGCATAACATAAATGAAATAAAAATCCTATATTTATTCAAGAACTTTGATAATAGAGTTTGTCAAAGAAGCTCAAAGAAAAAATATTGCGTGTAGTCCTTTCCCTATGTAGGACAGCTTCATAAAGTGTTTACCTTTAATGGAATGGTAGCTAAACAAATATTTATGTTCTATTATTTTCCTGCTGCAGGAAAGACTACAAAAGATAAGAAGTGGCAATTTTACCTTTACTCCCAATTGCCCACCCCAACTATTGCAAAAGAGAATTTACTGTATTTGTATACTCCATACTACAGATACATACACTATGGTCACTTTATTGTATGAAACACAGGGGTTTTAATCAAGTGCATTAAAATATAGGCAAATAGAATTTTTGTCCAACTTGCTGTTTTAAATATACGGTAACAGTTTACTGCTGGGTGAGTGCTTTTGCCCTTCAGGGTTTTTGTGATGCACTTTTCTTTTAGTTTTGTTTAGAGGTTGAATCCCATTTGAATTTCACTATTAAATGTCCTGGTTTGTTAATGTTGCCTTTAAAATACCAAGTAAGCAGTTAATGGTTTTGTGATTTAGAATCCATGCCAGAAAGTCATACAATAATGTTCTCAGACACATGCAGCAAAGGAGAAATAATGCACTTTCACAAACATTCTAATTAGTCACTATGATGGCTATTAGTTGGGTCTGTAATGGCAGAACTATTGCCACTAAGAAAATCTTGTGGAAAAGGACTAACAGAGCCTAGATTTTGATGATTTTAAATGATACATCTTCCATAAATGATACATCTTCCATTACCCTCCAACCACTCGATTTTAGACTTTCTTTTCCTCTGACACGGCTCCTTAGCCCATACGAGCTTCTTTCCATGTTTCCATTGACTTCACAAGGTGCAGCTCATGAGCAGCTTCAGACTGCCTATGCTGGCTAGTAACAGCTAAAAGAGAATTGATGTTTCTGGCCCACTTTTTCTCCCATATCAGTTTGAATCTCCCTCCTCTACTTAGCTCCCATGATGCACTCATGATGCACAAAGCTACCCTTCAGAGTTGAGTTTCTTTAAAACTATTAAGGGTGTTAAAAAGCTATTGGTGGGACAGTGAGGAAAGTTGATGAGAGCTTAGTATGTGACAGCTGCCCAAATATTAAATGAAAAAAGGATTATGAGAAACAAGACATGACAAAACACAAGTTAGGACCATCAAAAGAAATGTCAGCAGTTCAAAAAAACCAAAACAACAAACTGCTGTAATAAAGGAAAACAGTAAAATTAATGCTGAGTGAAAATAGGAACAAGCATTTTTACACCCTGTTTATTTTTGGTCCTACAATTTAGGATACTTATTATTTGTGATTCTTAGATCATTAATAGAACTTAGGGAAATCTACAATATTTTTTGCAATTATGGGGCTGTTTATTTCCACAGAGTGGAAGTGTAACAGAAAATTAGATACATTTGTTTTGTTGTCACTATGTATAAATGCCATACATCAAACACTCCAGTAACTTTCTTCATTTTTCTAGGAAGGAAAAAATTGAGAAAAAAAAAATTATCAATAAAATGTATACCTCATCTTGTAAATGAATGATATGCCAGAGTATATCCTGAAAAGGAAACTTGAGGGGGGTGGGGAAGTAAGAGAGATGGAATTTCCGTGATATTCTGCAAGACATAGCTAAAGTTACAGCTATGTTAATAGAATCCATATAGGCTGCTTACTTTATACTGTTAAAACTAACTTCCCTTCAATATGTGATGCACATTTTAAACTCAAAATACAGCATTCTGGAAAGATGGTTTACTATCCAGTATTTCAATGCCAGACACGATGAATCCTGAGATTTTTATTTTCCATCTGGTGAATTATGGGATACCTTAAGCTCTTGGCATTCTACTGAGACTGTGCTTCAATTTAGGTATTTCTAATAAGTCCCCTTCCTTTGTTCGTTAAATACGGCTTTTGTTAGCCAGCACTAGCTAAACTGGAGACAACAGGGAATACTACTGAGTATAACAATCCCAACTGTAATTATTATGAACAGGTTGATATATATGCATTATCAGCTACACAATTCATTGGATTTGGATGAATGAAGACAGAAGTACAGCAGAGCTGCAACACAGGTGGGAGGAAAAGGAAATCAAGAAGTTAGGCATTTCTTAACTTTTTCTGAAGTGGCTTCACTTCACAGACTGCTTTTTTGGACTCATGGGACCACAGATCATCATTCTGCTCATTAATGGAACAAGAAAGTAACACAGGGCTTAGACAAGTAATATCTGTGGCAAAATTTCTAACTGCTGTATGTTTGGTCTTGCATATTCATGGCGGCTTATTAGTGAGTTGCTTGTCTGAAATTTATACTGATTTTAATATATTGTGCTATATAAAATACTAGTATAGTGCAGGTATCATGCCAAGCAAAAGCAGCTGTTACCTTAGAGCAGAAAAAGAATGATGTTAATCTGTACCAAACATTTCCTTAAAAGACCCCATATTTACCACTTGTGATTTTTTCACAAACTAACCTACGGATTAAATGTAGACAATCCAAAAAAGGAATATGATTCTGCATAAAAACAAAAGATTAACAGGTGCATAGATGCTGCATATATTTTAGCAGAATCTTCAAAATGGAACTGAAACTGCTACTACACTAGCCCACAACAGTCTCCATAAAAACATGGCAAACTTTTCGAAGACTAGTCCAAAAAGATTTCGAGGTCACTTCAAACCAGAATTTAAAGAAATTATTTTCTTCTAAGGGCAGAAGGTGTGAAAGTTGCAGGGCTTTGCTGAGGATTTCCCACATCAAGTTCTTGGGAAAATCGTTACAATTGTCTGAAAAATACATGTCACACAGACTTCCTTTTGAATACATACAGCAGGTTCAACAGTAAAATTCCATATCTGAATGTAACAGTTCAAGAAACACATAGAAATGCTTAGATTTTTAAATTAGTACCTTCTGAAGAGTATTTGTCAAATAATACCTTTTCCATAACTCACTCATCCCTACTTATCTCTGTGTTATAATACTAAAACAAATTGACATGTATAAGACAGAGCTGTTGCATCCAAGTGTGTATACTCCATATATTATAAGCAAAACAAGTGCTAGCCATAATATACGCCTGAATTTCAGACCAGATATTAAAGACCTATATAAAGGAATTGTATACTGACGTTAAATTTACATTGTTTGCCAAAGCCCTCTGTCATTACCTGTCCACACAGTCAACATCTTGAGCATCTCCCAAAGAGCAACATACAATCTTTTTTCACCTAACAAGCTCAGGTCCTCTAATCTTCCAAAGTCCTCAGGATGCTAGGACATCTTACGGATTCCAGCGTGTTTATGTTGAACAGAGAGGTCAAACTAAGAGGTGATTAAGTAACCTACACTTTAGAGACAGCAAGTATTCTCTTCCTTGCAGATGACATGGGTTTCTTCTTCCTCACTTGAATCAGGCTCTGACCTGGGTAAGTGCTGTTCCTTGCTTCTCTTTTTGCAATGTTGACAAATTAACTTAAATGACAAGGAAAGAGGAACAGAGAACTGATCAAAAAGAAAGGACTCTGCTCCTAGCTGAGAGGCAGCAACCAACTTGTTGTCTCTCAAGTATTAGTTCCATAAGCTTTTATGAAAATCAGCATCAAAACTATGTTCAGTGGTAGGCTGAAACTTGTCAAGAGTTTCTCAGCTGCTACTTAGAAAATCATGAGATGCGAGCAGGACTGATAAAGAGCATGTTGACTAAATTACTTAATTAAGCTTTTAATACGCAATTTAAATACTCTCCATAAACCCACTAAATTTTTATTTTGAACGTACAAGTGTATTTTATTCACTGTGCTTTTTATTGAACATTTCACTCAATGGGTTTAATACTCTAGATCAATATCAATTCCATATTCTTTGACTTTCCTAATTAAAGCAAACAGAAGAACTGCAATAATAACTATAATTTCTTTTCAGCTAGTATACA